GAACGCGACAAATGGTCCGAGTGGGGTAGGCACCTGCTGATCACCCTGCTAACCGTGTGTGGCATACGGATCCCCTCTAGTAGCACGGAGCAGGCCCGGGTTTGGGCACAGGCGTCACTCCCGCCTTCCCTCGGGGGGATTGGCCTCACGGACCCGACGGTAGAAGGCGTACACGGATTTCTCGCTAGCTACTGCCAGGCAGCTCTCTTCATATATTCCATGGCTCTAGAAGCAGATGACATTCTGTCGTCAGTCCGGGACCACATGCTGCTGCCACACGACGCCACCACGCCGCTACACACGTCGCTATCTGAGTGCGAATCGACCCTGCACACTAACGCACACGAAGTGCTGGAGAAGGAGCAACTAGAGCCCAAGGGTATTAAACTGTAGCATGCATTCGCCCTCCAAGTCCAAGGGAGCAGAGTAGTGTTGTGATGCCACGCTGCGCATTTTTCGGGGTTATGCGCGAGCCCAAGATGCAAAAGTTTGTCAGTGCAGTGGGTGAAGGCGGCAATGGCAGCGTTAGTTTCCCCCAGGAATGTGACGTCGTTAGTGTAGGCGAGGCAAAGGACTCCTGGGTGTGCATCTGCTGTCTCGTGTAACGCAGGGTGTATTCCGGCGGCAAAACGTAAAGGACCGAGTGGGTCCCCTTGTCGGACGCCTCGTTCGCTTTTCAGTGGTTCGCAGCCGAACTTTGCGTCCAGGTGGAGCTGCGACGGGTTACCGTAGGTCAATTTGACGAGCGGGAGCAGCGGCGAGAGGTTGGTGTCTTGTAACGCATTTGCGATCGCCTGTCGCGAAATGCTGTTGAATGCGTTCGAAATATCTGTCTGCAGTATTACGCTATCTGAGCGTGCGTCCATGAAAGCCCGGGCGGCATGAATGATTGCCTCTGCTCCACCTGGCATTTCTCACGGCATCAGCCACCAAACGTCCTTACCTCACACGCCACTGCATAATGGAGTCGCCAAACGGGTTAACCGCACACTCATGGACCGAGTGCGGGCAATGGCCACTGGCGCCAGCCTTTCCTCCAAGTTCTGGCCGTATGCGCTGGAGTATGCTGCATGTCTACACAACCGCATCAGCTGCAGCAGCAACCCATCAGCACACTCACCATATTTCATGATGATCGGAAAAAAGGCAGATGATTCAATGGCAAGAACATTTGGCTGCCTCTGCTACTATCTCCCTCCCCAAGGCAGCTTCGGAAAATTCGAACAAAGAGGACGGGCTGGGATGTTTCTTGGAATCTCCAACGCTCGTAAGGCATGGATCGTCCGGGACATGGCAAGCGACGTGGACACGGACACACGCTCAGCTTGCTTCTTTGATGGCCTCATGATGCCGGATGCTGAATATCTACTCGAACGACATTGCTACATGGAAGAAAGTCTCACCGCACGTTGACGGCTGGACTTCAGGGGGAGAAGGATTTGGGTCCGAGTTTGACTCATTTCCAGCATCATCACCTTCCTCCCCCAAAACCACTGAAGTCCATCCCTGAGGAGGTCATGAAGCCGAGACTATGGAATCAACGCAAGAGGACTCATCTGCAGCCGATGCAACCGACACAGGCGAAGGGACTTCAACAAGTGACTTACCTGCAGCATGCGTCTCTGTTCCTGAAGGTGCTGAAGTCAACGAAGTCAAAAAAGATGCAAGTCATCTCTATGACTTTGCCTACCCACCTGATGGGATCCCGCTGGCTGTCCAGGATACAACACCACGACGGGTTCACTTCAATCCGAATGTGACTGTGCTCGAGGGAGAAGAGCAAGCAACGGACAGGACAGGACTGGATGTGTTGTTTGGAAACCAGCAAGCGGGACAAGCCAAAAAGACCGACCAGAACAAGACTCAAGGGGACAGCAGTCTTCGCAACCCGCAACCTACAACAACGCGTGTTGGGATGTGCAGCACCCGGTGTGCCCATGGTCGACCTAACATACAAGGAGCCCAAAACACTCAAGGAGATGGTCAAGGACACGTACGCACCTCTTTGGCAAGCTGCGGTGGATGCAGAATTGGCAAAATTCGTTGAGCTGGAAGCATATGAGGTCGTAGACAGAGCAGATGCACCAATGGGAGTCCCGGTGTTGATAGAGGGAGTCGTATTAAGGGTGAAACGAGATAAGCACGGCCCGCCGAGCTGGTTCAAAGCGCGATGGGTGGTCAAGGGATGCAGACAAACGTGGGGAACATACGATGAGAGGTATGCACCGGTCAGCCAAGGACCTACCTCACGCATGTTCGTTGCTGGTGCATCTGCTACGAAGCGGAAGGTCGTGCAACTGGACATCTCCAATGCGTTCCTGTACGCCCCAATCGACAGGGAGGTGTATGTGAGACCACCTGAACCGCGACGGAACGGAGATAAAGTCTGGAAACTCAAGTGAAGTATGCATGGACTGAAACAAGCACCACGTTTGTGGCATCAGCACTTATGGTGTGTTTTGTTGGAGTTGGACATGGTGCAGTCCGAATCTGACCCATCCCTGTTCATCTGGAAACGAGAAGGCAAAGACACGGTGTGGCTGCTTACCTACGTTGACGACATCCTCATCCAATCTCATGATGAAGAAGGCATTCTATTTGTGATTCAACGCATGAAGCAATGTTTTACCTTGACTATCAACAAGACCATGACGCAGTTTTTGGGCCTCATCGACTCTGATGACACTGACTCGATCTCACTCGGACTCACAAAATACATCTCATAGGCTTTGGCGAGCTTCGGGACGGAAGGCAGCCGTTCTGGAGTTCGGACGCCAATCACCAAGGAACCTGGACCACAAGAAGAACCACCAGACGAGATTGACAGTCAGCTAGTGCTGAAGCAAGGGGGGACGTTGCTGTACATCTCAACAGCGAGGAGGCCGGACATTACATATGCAATACACGTGTTGGCTAGACAGGCTAGCAAGCCAACAGCTGCAACCGTGCTAGGAATTCAACGTGTCTTCAAGTGCTTACACAACACTGCAGATGTGGGTCTGGTTTATGGAGGAGGCTTGGTGCTCCGAGGGTACACGGACTCAGACTATGCGAATGAGGTAGGGTGTCAGTCAATGGGAGGCTACATGTTTACCTTGGGTGGAGCTGCCGTCAGTTGGAGGACAAAGAGGCAAACCGTGATTGCTACATCAACAACTGAAGCTGAGTACATTGCAATTTTTGAAGGGGCAAGAGAAGCGGCTTACCTTCGGCGCTTGTGTGAAGACCTTGGTTTCCCATAGCAAGAACCAACTGTCCTTTTAGTGTCCTTGCCAACTGGGACCCTGGGCCACGTATCCGCATGCTCCCACGGCCACTTGGTCTTATTGCGGAGGAGCTACTTAAGGCACAGGAAGCATGGGACCGGAAGGATAAGCAAGCGTTCCAGTACCTGTGTTGGGCCTTGGAAGGCCAACTAGAGCTCCTAAAGATGCTGATTGACCTGAAGGGGAAGCAAGGAGCAGCTGCCCAAGCATGGAAGAGAGTTCAAGATCGACATCTGCAAAAGGAGCTGCTAAGCATACCCACATGGAGGAAGCGGTTCTACACCATGGAACGCAACTATGGCGATGGGGAGACCATGGTGCAGTACCTCCAGAAGGTGGATGAGTATGCGAGGGCCTTGGAGGAGTTGAACTACACTGTGGGGGGAAGAAGAAGGAGCTCGACACGTGCCTCGTCCCTGGATGCAATCGGAAGCACTCTTGGAAGTAGTGTTGGAGCCGGCCAGATGGGTGGAAGCCTCAAGGGTACCCAGGAGAGGCTCCACCAGTCACTAGGCCTGAGTGGGTGGAGAGGAGGATAAAGAATGGAGCCTGGAACAAGAAGGGCAGCAAAGGAAAAGCGGCAGCAGCAGCGACAAATGATGGTGGGAAGGGAAAGGATGACTCATTGGATGACGGTTTCGCCTTCCTTGCCTTGGAGAAGGAGACGGCGCTTGCTGGTCGTCTGTTGGCTGACCCTAATCACCTTGTTCTAGACTCTGGTGCCACTGCATGAATGGTACCACGGCGTGACCTCTTCACTACCTACCACTCCCTTCCACCTAACTCAAGAAATGTGATCGTGGGAAGCGGAGATACGCTGCAAGCAACCGGCATCGGCACCATCACCATCAAGGGGAAGGAGGGGGGGGTGCTGAATGTGAAGGCTGTGCTTCATGTTCCTGTGCAGCCAACCTTCTCTCATGCTCTCAGCTTGCGAGGTAAGGATACATATGCACCTTCACCATGGGATGGTGCACTCCACTCCATACCCCACTCCCCCTCTCACTCGTGTGTTTGTGGTCATGCACCAACGTGGTGCCGTACACACCTGCACTGCAAATACATGAGTGAGGTTTGTGGAGTTAAAGTGACGTTTGGCCGGACTGGACACCTTGACGTCGTCACACATGTGAGTGCAGTTGCAAACCCATTGCCTTGCTGATCATTTGCACATGCTTCACTTGGTGGAATCGGTTGGAGGCCGCACAGGAGGCTGCATGTGAGATGCTGCTTTTTTGTAATGGGCTTGGTGAGATAATCAGCTGCCTGCCAGGCTGTAGGGCAGTACTCCAGCCGCACAACACCATCACGATCGGCCTTCCTCGTCCAATGGTAACGCACTTCCATGTGCTTAATGTGCTGACTCATTTGCTCCCCTGTTGCAAGTGCAATTGCACTTTGGTTGTCGGGGGGCGGTCCGAGTGGGTTGACAGGCGTAGCCGCTGTCGGGGGAAGTAGGCAGACTAGCATGGGGTCATTTGTCACGCCGCAGGTTGGTGCTCAGCAGCTGCGCGAGGGTCTGGTGATGCTATTTGCTAGACTCGGCATGCCATTTCGGGCAGTTGAACGGCAACAGGTAAGAGCTCGTGTGTGCATATACTCGATGATGCGTGGTTGTCGCATACTTCATTGTAGCTCACCGTAGCTATCACTCCCTCTCCTTGCTCTCGCCCATTCCAGTGCAATGACTTTGTCGCGCAGCATCTCGGCAGCCGATTCCGTCTTGCACGCGACATGCATGCCGCAGGCGATGCAGCTACGGCGGAGCTGCGACAGCTGCTCACAGCCGACGGACTTTCGGGGAGGATTACGCTCACCACAGACATATGGACTAGTGAGAACGGCCTAGCTTTCATGGTGGTGACAGCGCAATGGGTCATGAGCGACTTCAGGCTGGAGCAGGCCATTCTCGACTTCAGGCCGCTAGAGAAGGAGTTGGAGGAGGTCATTGTGGAGTGGGGACTAGGTGATGCGTTCTTCGGCGTGACCACGGACAACGCTGAGAACAACAATCGTGCAATTCGCCTATTGGTTGGCGTCCCTAACAGCACACCGGGGTCACGCACTCGTGACCCCCCCCCCTGCTCTCCCAGTCTCGGCACTTCTGGTACATGTCATCGACGGCTACGTGGGAGCTCGTGTGTGCTTACTGTGCTATGCTGTCTATGATTTGTACGTTCGCCACCACATCATGTCCACCCTCCTCTCGCTATTAACTTGCCCCCCATGTGCGTGGCACATGTCTTTAACCTGTCAGTACAGCATGCACTGAAGGTTAGGACGGTCTCGGAACCGCTCCAGCCGCTGCGAGATGTGGCTAGCCATATCGACTGGTCGGTGCAACATTCAGAACGTTTTTTTTTTTTTTTTTTTTTTTTTTTTTTTCAGAGCCGGTTTGCAGCGCCTGAGACGGCGTCGTAGCAGGAGTGTGCACAGGGAGGGAGGACACGCCCACCCTCCGATGGCTTGCGGCTGATCATCGATTCGCCTACGCATTGGGGTTCCATGCTGGAGATGGTGCTGAGGGCCTTGGACCTCCGAATGCCTCTCACAATGTTTTTCGATGACACCGACGTGAGTATATTTCAGCGGCAATAGGAGTGTGCTTATACTGAACGTGTACGTGGATGTAACCCCATGTTGCTCAATAAAGCTCTATCTCCCATCCGATCCCTCCTCCAACCCTCCCATCATAGCAGCGTGCTTATAATGAACGTGCACGTGGATGTAACCCCATGTCGCTCAATAAAGCTCTATCTCCCGTGCGATCCTTCCCCCAAACCTCCCATCATAGGACCGTGCTTATAATGAACGTGCATGCGTATGTAACCTCATGTCGCTCACTAAGCTCTATCTCCCATGCGATCCCTCCCCCAACCCTCCCATCATAGGAGCGTGCGTATAATGAACGTGCATGCGTATGTAACCCAATGTCGCTCAATGAAGCTCTATCTCCCATGCGATCCCTCCCACAACCATCCCATCATATGAGCGTGCTTATAATCAGCGTGCATGTGTATGTAACCCCATGTTGCTCACTAATGATCTATCTCCCATGCACTCCACCCCCTTGCCTAAGTAGGTTTCCTTGCCACGTGCCACGCGCGAAGCATGAGCGGCGATCCGACTGACTGATGCTGATTGGGCAGCTCTCATCGAGTAGCGTGAATTTCTCACCCACTTTCACCAAATCACTCTTTTTGTGGAGGGGTCTCTGTACGTGACCATGTCAGCTGTTGTACCCCTGTACAACAAGCTGTAGGATCTCCTGAAAGGGTCTTTGCAAATGCCAGGGATCTCACCGCTGTGCTCAGAGCTGACCATGGCGGAACTAAGCAAGCTGGAGCGCCACATGAGAGGGGGGGGGGGGGGGGGGGGGGGGGTGAGCGAGGAGATAGTGAAGGCGCTGGTACGGGAGCGCCTTCCATAGTACCAGGTTGCGTCGGCTGCGGCGACAGAGGCACACCGTAGGGGTGAGGTTACGAGTGTTAGGGGAGCGGTGGGGCATGCAGCGGCAGGGGTGGGGGCAGCAGGGCGTGGGGCGGTCCGGGGAGATGGCTACCGCTCTTTTCAGGCGGAGCTGATGGCTGAGATGGCAGCCATGGAGGCAGTGGAGGGGGTGCAGCAGCTGGACAAAGTGAACCAGTATGTGGCGGAGGGGAGGCATGAGGATTTTTGCCCCTTAGTGTACTAGCGCGGTAGGGAGTAGCAGCTGCCCGGGCTTAGGGCGATGGCGCGCGATTATCTGGGTATACCCGCCACGTCTGCGGCGAGTGAGCGCGCATTCGGCTAGAGCAGGAACACCGTCACGTGGCGGAGGCACAAGCTGAGCGCGAGTCAGATGCGTGAAGGCATGATGATTAAGTCATGGCAGGATCACAAACCTGGGCAAAGGCTGTCTATCCGTGGCAACACGACCATACAGACAGTATGAAACATATTGTATCCATTCCCCTTCCACTCACCCTTAATAACATCACTAGAACTGCAGCCATAATATTTCTCAAGGAACTTTGAAACACTCTATACCTTAAACACAAATACATAAACACAACTAATAGCTAACCAAGCACATAGGTGAAGCGTGAGAACCCGCAGACCAACTGCCTTTCAGGCACTGAACCCGCAATTCTCGCTAGGCTGCAACACTAGCCTCAAGAGCTTTGCCAACTCCGCATGCCACTTCAACCTGGAAGGATTGGAGCACAGGACAGCAACTGATTACAGCATGTGTGTGTCATCAATTAAGAAAACTAGGGTAGAGATGCAGTCATTATTATTATTACAATAGTTTGAAACAAATAATAACACAAACACAATTACAAACCTCAAAAGCATACATCTAACCATGCCCCTAGAGGGAGCGGCTTCCCCTGAACCGACCCGACCTCGGGCCAGGCCCGACTTGAGGTTCGGTCAGGCTGACCCGACCCTGGCTCCCCGAGTCCGATCAGGCGTTTTTCTGTCTTGACCCGAAGTCCTGCCCGACCCGACCCGACCCGGAAACCGGCTTGGCCCGGCCAGGTCGGGTCGGGTCGGGTCGGGTCGGGTCGGGTCGGGTCGGGTCGGGTCGGGTCGGGTCGGGTCGGGTCGGGTCGGGTCGGGTCGGGCCGGGTCAGTCCCTCTGCTCATGCCTGCCAGGCCCCGCCCGCGCCCGCCTGCCAGCGTCCGACCGCCCGCCCGCCCTCCCACGCCCCCGCCCGCGCCCGCCCGCGCCCCCACCCCCGCCCGCGCCCGCCCGCGCTCGCCCGCGCCCGCCCGCGCCCGCCCGCGCCCTCCCGCGCCCGCGCCCGCCCGCGCCCGCGCCCGCCCGCGCATGCGCCCGCCCGCGCCCGCTCATGCCCGCGCCCGCGCCCGCCCCCGCCCGCGCCCGCTCCCGCCCCCGCCCGCGCCCGCCTGCCAGCGTCCGACCGCCCGCCCGCCCCCCCGCGTCCCCGCCCGCCCGCGGCCCCGCCCGCGCCCGCTCGCGCCCCCACCCCCGCCCGCGCCCGCCCGCGCCCGCCCGCGCCCTCCCGCGCCCTCCCGCGCCTGCGCCCGCCCGCGCCCGCGCCCGCCCGCGCCCGCCCGCGCATGCGCCCGCCCGCGCATGCGCCCGCCCCCGCCCGCTCCCGCCCCCGCCCGCTCCCGCCCCCGCCCCCGCCCGCGCCCGCTCCCGCCCCCGCCCGCGCCCGCCCCTACCCCCGCCCCCGCCCGCCCCCGCCTCGCCCCCGCCCGCCCGCGCCCGCGCCCGCGGATACGTATTTGCCACTCCACAGCTGCCTACTATGCGACGTACTGTATGCTTACCATAAGAGAGGTAAACAGCTCGACTTACTGATGTCTGCAAAAGCAAGGAGCAAGGACAAAGACCACGACAAAGAGAAAGCCAAAGCAAACCGGGTGGGTAACAAATTGAAATGCGATTACGGAAAACGTAAGAATTTTAGTTACGATAGCATCAGCTTAATAGTTGTCATTAAACATTGGCAATACCAACGTAATACGACGTCGCTGGGGAGGTATGAAGGAAAAACACAGAACCTACTCCTAGTCCTAGCTTCCAGGAAGCTGCGCTCGATGTAGCGACGATGAGAGAGGTACGAAGACCTAGGAGTAGAGTTAGGCATGAGATCGTTAGACTACGGTAACTGAAGAATGAGAAATCCTGGCGGGGAGGGCAATAGAATGCGACACATTGAAGCATCAAAGAAAGGTCCAGTTTTGCTGATGTGACTGGGATAGCTGTTTTGCTTATGTGACTGGGATAGCTGTGATTGGTGCGCGAAATTTGGCTACCTCCTAGCGATACACATTAAATATTACCGCAATAAGGTGGGGCACGTTAGCAGTATATTCAGCATGTTGTTATAACAGCCTGTAACAAAAACCTGGTTGGGTCAGCCTCGGTGGTCGAACTGTGTGAGCAAACCTAATTATCAGCCTCGTTCCGAAACAGGGGTTTCTTTGGGGTGACCTCGAATTTCGCAACGTGGTAACCTCGCGAGGGATGCCGCAAGGTTTCCCTCAATTTCGAAGACATTTCGGCAAGGTAACCCCGGGCGGTGCAGCGCAACACCTTCTCGCACCTATCCTTCTTGGTTGCCCACCTATATTTCAACTTACCACTAGATTATTCAGCCCTATCGTAATTACGTAGTTGAGCCAGGATCTCAACGGACAAGACCACGCAATGAAATAAGAGGTGCGGTTGCGACCCCGCCTGTGACCACCTTCTCTGCCAATTTTCCATCGCACGCTTCTCAATTTCCCAATGGCGAGGTGGAAACAGCGCAGGCCCAAGCGGAGCAACGCGGCACGCGCCGCGGCGGCAGCAAACGCCCGGGCGGCGGCGGCCCAAGGCAATCCAGGTGAAAGTGGCAGAGTCGTCGGGGCCGAAGGTGAGTGCCTTGTGGGGCACCTCACATGTCGGCGGTGGGCGGTTGCTTGGATAATCCGCACGTGGTATAACGCATCGCTACCCAATAGGTCACGTCGAGGGGGTTTACTTTAGACGCGTTGGATTGCCCTTAACACATCCCACATGCATTACGTGGCGCTCCAGCCACCCGAAGGTGAGTACCTAAGGGTGTGATTGTAGGAGCGTATGAGTATGTTGTAGTCTGTGGATAATTACCGAAAGTAGCATTTTTTGTAATAGTCGTGACAGACCGACAAGCGGGGGCGGTAGTGTTGGAATCACTGAACAGGAATGAATGAACTAGCAATGAAAAGAGTACAAGTACCTAACCCTAGAATTGTGTACCCCCTATAGGCTAACCCACTGTAGCCTAAACTAACACAACATATATAATGTTTGACACACCCCCATAGGCAAAGTGGGGGAGAACTAGGGGTCACAAGACCAGTCAAGGCAAAGCAAGGCAAAACAAGCTCACGGTGGATCTCAAGGATACCACACAAATTCCGAGCACAAGCAAGTGGTCACAAGACCAGTTCACATGCAGGTTTATATATAGAGATCACAGTACAACAGACTCAAGAAGTAAGCAAGTGAGGTCCAGTAGGCACAAGGCCTAGAAGAGTGCAAAAGCGCTGATGGTCACAAGGCTGAAGCGCCTTGGTGAACACATCAGCAGTGTTGGCCTCAGAGGCCACGTAACGCAGGCGAAGCTGACCACGCTGCTGCAGCTCTCGAGCGAGGAAGTAACGCAGAGCAATGTGCTTCGTTCTGTGCTCCAGTCTGTGCTCCTCACACAAGGCAATGGCTGCCTTGTTGTCGACGTACAGCACTGGAGGAGAACGAGGCTGCTCTCCAAGGTCGGTCAGCAAGTAGGTGAGCCAGCGTAGCTCCTGGGCCGCCATGGCTGTGGCGTAGATCTCAGCCTCACAACTAGAGCTGAGAACAGAAGAAGAGCGAGTAGAACGCCAAGAAACAGAACCAGAGCCAAGACTGAAGGAGTAACCCTGAGACGACCGCTGAGTAGCCTGGTCGTCTGCCCAAGAAGCGTCTGAGTGCCCAGTGAGAACAACTGGGACTCGCCCTCCAAGCACTAGCCCCATGCCCGACGTACTGCACAAGTAGCGCAACACCCTCTTAGCTGCATCCATGTGCTCCTTCCGGTGACGGCCGGGAGCGACATAGCGTGCAAGAATGCTGAGAGGGTATGCAAGGTCTGGTCGAGTGCAGGTCATCAGGTACATGAGGCAACCCACAAGCTCTGGATACGGGCCACTCGGCTCTACGGACTCATCCGAAGGCAGAGCTGAGAGCGAGTGACCGGTAGGCAGAGGAGTGGGCTGAGGCGAGGAGTACGTGAAGCGGAAGCGCTGAAGGACCTGCTGCACCATGTGTGACTGAGTCAAGGTGATGGTGCGGCGTGCTCTGTCCCGGGTGATCCGCAAGCCAAGATAGCTTGTCAGTTCACCCAGGTCTGTGCACGTGTGTCTCTTCTGCAGCTCCGACTTCACGTGGGCGAGTGCCACAGTGTCAGCAGTAGCAAAGACCAAGTCGTCGACGTACACAAGGACGTAGAACGGCGGCAGTGAGGTGTCGGTGCGTAGAAACAGCGACGGGTCAGCAGTAGAAGGCGCGAACCCAAGAGCCGCAAGCGTAGTCCTCAGTGTGTCGTGCCACTCACGAGGCGCCTGGCGGAGACCGTAGACTGGCCGTCGGAGGCTCCACTGGGTACCAGGAGGGAACGACCCAGTGAAGCCAGGTGGACGGCGCAGCCAGATCTCCTCGTGCAGGCTGCCCTGCAGGAAAGCAGTGCTGAAGTCAAGCGAGTGGAGCTCGTAGTCACGCTGAGCGACGACGTGCAGCAGAACCCGAAGAGTGGTCATCTTCGGGGTCGGGGAGAAGGTCTGGAAGAAGTCAACTCCCTCGCGCTGACTGAAGCCTCGTGCAACGTAACGCGCCTTGAAGACAGGCGGAGAACCCGGCGGCCGCTTCACCCTGAAAATCCACATGCCACTGACGATGTTCGCCCCAGGCGGGGGAACCTCGTCGACGTAGGTGCCTGTGGACTTCCAGGAAGCCATCTCTGTGTCCATGGCTGACTGCCACTGAGAGGAGTAGGGACCGGCCATCGCCTCTGCGTAAGAGCGTGGGGTCGGGATGTCTGGTGCATCCGGGTCTCCCTCAGGGGCAACAAGCATGGACACGAGATGGGGCAAAGCGGCAGCAAAGCACTGGAACTCCTCCTGCCTGTCCTCAAGGACGTCAGTGCCAAGAGCACACTCACCCCCGACGGACGG